AGGCGGCTCTAAGAGCCGTTTCGTTCGCGAACGACCCATCACTAATCTCAGCTGCTCAGACATTTTGAAGAGTGACTCGTCGGAGCTGCTCAGACTCTCAGCTTCTGCAGACCAAAAGGTGAGAATCCGCTCGTTATGTCATAGTGATTGTAGCAGGTAGGAGCAGTGTTGCCAACTTAGCGACTTTGTCGCTATATTTAGCAAGTTTTCAGACCCCTTAAAAAAGTCGCTTTCACGTCTTTTTTAGCGACTTTTTTTCTTTAAAAAAGTCGCTAAAAAAAGACTTTTTTTTTTTTTAGCGACATGTGTATTTTACCTTGAGTATTTTTATTTTGATACAGTTTTCTTTCAGAGGGAAGTCTGGTACTTTTTACAACACCACATGAGTTTCTGTCACAGCTGCAGATACTCCACAGAGACAGAGTCACATATCTGACACTGAGTCTCTGTTGGACAGGAAAAGACTCCATGTTGGTTTGTGAGTTTTCCTCAGAGCAGGTACACACAGAGAAACATGTCCAGGATCTGTATTCACAAACTGTCTTCATACTAAAAGTTTCTGTGAAATTCTCATAAAAAATGTTAACAGACCTCCTCAGGCGAAAACCTGCTAGGAGTAATAATGAGGAGGACTTTAAGAGTGTGAGGGGTGTTTGTTAGACAAGAAAATGGTGGAAAGACAAACTGTGTGGTGCTGAAGAACAGCAGAACAACACTTTTTACTTCCTCCATCTGAGGAAGTAGAAATTATTAAGTTTGAATTTAGACATCACTGAAGTTTATTTTAATCCATGAGAAAACCACTGCCTTTGTTCTTTATCTGAACATATGTGACCTTTTATCATTCCATCTTTATTACACTGTTTTTACAAATGCAACACTTCATGTTCCTGTTTCAAACAAAAGCCCTCTGCTTTATTGGACAGAGCACCATTTATTAATCATGCTTTTATTGTTAAACACTGCAGACACTCGATGTAAAAAAAACAAGCAAAAACTCTGATCTATAGTAACAAAATACAATATTTATCCCTGGCTGAGATTTCATGCCCTGAAAGCTAATAATCCTTCATGTTAACAGACGACCACTGGAAAAGAAATGGAAAACCTATCAAAAGTATTAAATATATACAAAATAAATAAATAAAATAAAACCAGTGATAAACTCATCGTGTGAGGTTATTACTGTACATATAGCTCTTTAGTTTATAGAGCAAAGATATTTATTCTGTCCATTTTCACTAAGATCACATTTTTTTATTATGCAGACACATTTATAAAGCTTCATATCTACCAACGGGGCCGTCCTCACAGTTTTAAAGTTTCATCTCTTCCTGCTCTAAAGTTGTGGGTCCTGACTGATGTTCATTAGGAGGTCTGAGAGGATTTACAGGATGAATACAGGATGTGATCTTTAGTCTGTGACACGACATTAAAGAGCTGAGAGTGAGTTTTAATCTGAACGTGTGTGCGAGACATTCGGTCTGTTCTGCTGCTCACTTTGTTCATGTCAGAATTGTCTGACGTGTTTCTGTTTGTGTCCACAGTCTTCCAGACCTCAGTTTGATTTACAATCCAAAGCAAAAGGTCGGAGGTCAAGTGGGTCATCAGACTGTGCAGAGGAAACCTTTCTACACATCACAAAGGAAAATCTATAAAATGGCACAGAGTTCATTATATTTACTGAACAAGCTTAGAAAAAATGCCTT